TGTGACCCATCATCATGACTAAGGCCTGTGAAGGGGAAGGACAATGCCATGCAACGGAAAAAAGAATAACTGCAAAGATATTCTTCTTACAGATTTGAGAGAGCTCATTTTTTCATTGGTACATGGACATCTGGAAGAGAAAAAAATCTCCTTCATTCTAGTTTTCAAGTCTCCTCATTTAATAATCTATCTTCAGATAACATATAGTGAGGAAGGAGTCAAGTGAGCTGCTGTCTCCACCAACCGCCTTCTTTGGCTCAAGAAGATAGGTTAGGCCTAGTGTGAAGGTAATACTTTGTACTACCCTGCAGGCAAGAATTCCAAAACATAGTCTTCCTGTTTGCTACCTTCTTAGGATGAATGGTAGCTGAAGGGACGCTAGCTGGTAAGACATAATAAGAAGATTCATTGTTAAAATTGGCCAAGTATAGAAATGAGGATCAGAGAGAAGTAGCCAAGTATAGAAATGAGGATCAGAGAGAAGTAGAAATGGGAGGAGAGGAGCAAATGCCTTCTACTCTGTCTTGCTCGCCTGGATCAGCAGAATGGGATTATCTGGGTACCAATTAGAAGGACTTTTTCATTGTAAAAATAATTCCTAATGTTTACAGAGTAATTCTTCCAAAATTGCAAGCAGAGATATCACACTATGATGTCTCCAACCGATCTTATTACCAAAAGCAAAACCAATGAAACAACATCTGTCTCTTCCAGAGCATTCAATTCCCAATTCCATTCCATTTACTCCGTCCTTAGAATGGCAGACCCACAGGGCACTTTTCATCTAATAGTGTTTCTATGGAAACGCCATCCTCAACCTGGAAGATTCTATTGCCCCTCACATAGACTTTATCCGAATTGAGAAAAGAAAATCTTATAATTAAGAAACGGAGACAAATTTGCCTACAGACAAACAAAAATTCTAGGCTCTCAATTCACAAAAACAAACAAACAAAACAAAACCAAATAGCAAATTATGTGTATCTGACTTGCAAACAAAGTTTGTCTCTATAGTAGCCAATAGGATCCTCAATATCAGTGAAAGAGTAGGGAATCCAAGAGAATGCGAAAGAAAATCAATTCTCCTTGAGGGTCACCTCCCTCTTGGTCAGTGCCAACCAGATGCGCCACCCCTTGAATGGTTCCTTCCCCTGAATCTGCAGGGATGAATTTTAACAACCTCCACTCTTCTAACTTTCAGGATTCTTGGGACACACAGCAGCTCCATGCAGGAAAATATGTCACCGCATATTTTAAATAAGATCTATATTAACCACTTTTCTATTTAGATTATATTTAAACCTGCAATATGTTAGGGTGGGGGGGGGACTTGATTTTTACCTTAAACATTGTATTTATTCCTTCTCCTCATTTTCACTAGGGCACTGTGTAGCAAAATAACCGCTAATATGAAAAACACATCCAGCTTAAACATTACAACACAGCAGGTTATATTTACAGTTGGAATAATGCCCTTCAGAAAGGAAAAGAAACCTTGATGTGGCGTGTGCCCCTGAACTGTCACTCTATAGTGACTAATATGGTACTATTAAGTACTTTTTAATTGTTTGCAATAATTTGTCTTCAGGCAAATGCAAGCATTTCAATTAATAAATGCTTTTATTTTCTTTCTAATTCTCTTTTATTATCTACATGTCAGTCTTTCTTTTCAATCCCAGGGAATAGTTTCTTTTTAAGAGACCTTCTCTAGTTAGCAAAACTGGCAAATGCTCAACTAAGTAGTCTAAGCTGAAAATTTACATCAGTGAAATTTCTTTTACCCCATAACACCAAAGTTTAAAATCTCTTCCTTTTTCTTTCATTGTTTTCATTATGCACACGTATGTCCAGTTGAGCTTGCTAGAGACTGTGAGTCCAAGAACGAAGCTTTAGCTCTCTCTTTGGAGTAGTCAAATGTGCTACTGATTAAATCTACCTGTGGATAACCAGAGAACGACACATTTTCCTATGCAGCTGGGGTGCAAATCCAGAAGGTTTTCTAAAAAATTCGGGGCCTATTCTACTGCTCTAACACACAAATGCTTCAAAGCCCTTTCAAAGGCAGATTTTGTTTTCAACTGAATAAGCCCAGTGAAAAGATTGACCCATTTATTTGAAAAAGAAAACAAATCGCAATTTGCCTTTAAAGAAGTGCGTGAGGTTTTATAATATGTCTTTGGCATTTAATAGATTGGTTTTTACAATTTTCTAATTAATTATTATTGCTATTGTTTCAATTAGCCAGTTTCCATTGTTCTTTTATATCTAGCAAGATTTAAGAAAAATTTTCTAGATAAGCTGCATTAATCATCGAGCAAGAATGTGTTACGTTTAAAATTTGTACAGTCTTCCAAATGAACTGTGCATCCCTGGAGACCTCTCAGAACTTGAAATGAAGTTGCTAACGGATTAGTACTGAGATGTCAGTAGTGACTCACATTGGGACAAATCACAACAAAACTCTATAGGTTTTTCCATAGAACTTATTATAATCAGCTCCTGACTATAAATATTACCTAAGCAGTCTGTACACTCCTTCAAGAAGTACAACAAGACAAGGATAAGGGTGTTCCTTGTAACAGGAGATCTATTTGCTCTTGCAACCAGAGAAAGGGGAAGGAAATCTTTCTCACTGGGGAAAGAGGGGAAAAAATTAAATATACCTCCTACCTTTGCTTTTTAGATGATATTATGAGAGCACTTTCTTTTTAGAGACCATTACCATTATCAACACTTTTGTCTGAGTAGATGGCAGTGGAAGGGGGCAGGAGCATGTGGAACTATCCAACAAACCACGAGGTGATGTCTATGAGCATCCATAGAGAGCCAGGGAGACATGGAAATGGGTTCCCCTTCCAGGGTAGCGATACCGGCCAGAACAGACCCCAACACTGAAGGAAATCGGGCAGTTCAAGAATAACTCCTATTACAATCACTCCAATAATATGTACCACTGAAAGCATTGCAATGCAGGTAAAGTCATGCTGGCTGTTAAAAGGAATTCTTTGTTTTTTAAAGGAGGTAATATAGCTCTCTGCAAGGTCCTTCACAAGGATATAACCTAGGAAACCTGATGGATGCATAAAAGAACTTGCTTCTCTCTCTCCTGCTTCTATCTGAACCAATATTTGATTATATTTTATTCAGGGGCACCTGAGCTGCAAATAAAGCCAATGCTCCTTTGCCGATTGAGATGGAGGTTGACAAAATCTATTCATTTTTTCTGTTAGTACAGGAAATAGAAATATTCAGGGTGGACCTGACTTTGTCCCCTCCCCACGCTCATCCTCCAGCTCAGGCTAGCTGGCTAGCACAGGTGATGAAATATCAGCAGGGTTGCATCAGCACTATTGACCAACTATGACTTCTCATCTCCTGCTGGCTTTAAAAGACCCCTAGACCCTAGTGCCCCATCTCCCCCTCAGTAGTACCTGATAGTCCTCAGTAGCAGACGTGCACAAGGCAGGTCTCAAACTATCCACATACAGCAACGGTGTCAGCTAGGTAATGGCACCTGAATCAGATGGTAGGTAAACCTAATAAATAGGATGTTAAAATCAGGTAAGCAATCTAAATCTTCAACTACCTACCAGCATTCACCAAGCCCTAAAGCTGATTCCAAACTGTCAACATCATCTAGTAACTGTTTGGAATCACCATGGGAAGAAATGAAGGGTGGAAACCATGTTTTTTAGTGACTCCTGCTGCTCTCAGTTTTGATTTTATTCACACACGCTGGGTTAATGTACACCCTCGAGTGTTATTGGAGGCACAGCCTCTGTCCACAGGAGCAGCACCAGCGTGGCCTTCCACGTCCTGTTTGTCTCCCTGAATCAGAACAAGTCATTGAGGACCATGGCTTTGAGAGTGGGCCAGGGTGTAAGGGTCCACAGGTCAGGACACGTTTGTGACCATGCAAAATTAACTTTTAATACTTAAGAAAAATGGATGACTTTAAGAAAAGTAAACTATGCTAAAAATAGTAACATAAAAGGTTTGCTCCTAAGATTTTTAAAAGGCCAAGATTCTTTGTATTTGTTCATCTTAGGCTGGGCTATGCTACCACCTCTCTAAACCCATCCTTTGTCCCTCAGAGCGAGAGTCCCAGTCCCCTGGGTCAACAATTTTGCTGATTTTTAAAATATTATCTTACTCATAAACTTTCTTTTTGTCTTCTTCCTCGGATGTCATTAAATCTGTGTGCACTTCCAAAAATATCCACCGCAATATTATGATTATAAATATTTTGAACATGAAATTCATTCAGAACAATAACCAAACCAAACAAATCCCTCGGTGGCAGAAAGCCCCAAATCTCCAGTTTCTCACATCTCCAGGAGAATTCCTGCAGTGAAAACAGCAATACTCACACAGACAATATAAACTGTTACCCGGCTTGAAAAGTCACCAGGGACTACACAGGAAGAGCTGCCTCTATATTGCTGTTTTCCTTTACAGTTCTAAATACAGGGGCCACTTTCACTGTGCAGCTCTGACTCACAGGAGCGTTTGGGAATGGCAGCCAGCGCATTCACACCACTTAAAAGCAAATTATGTGCGCATCCTGCCATTGCAACAAGATTGAAATTTTTGCGGACCATTCGTTATAAAGGTCCGCGAAAGCATTAGAAGAAATTAAGTCCTTCTCTCTGGGGTTTGTCTCACTTGCTTCTTACTGGGAGCTGGTTCTAAATGCTAAAGAGGCACCCTGAGAGAAGCAACATCATTAACATGCATACTTAAAATCACAAGTGCACATGAACTCCTACACCGTAGAACGTATGAAAGTTAACAGCATTGCAATAGCGAACTTCAAATCAAACGCCTCATTGGGGGTAACGTCTTGAGGAAATAAGTGCGGACACTTTTGTGAAAACTGTGGGAAGACAATGATTTATGAAATATTCCAGGTTCAGAGGGATCACTTTTCCCCCATTTTTTTTTCTATCAAAACTGTTTGTCCATATTTAGTTTAGATATGTCATTTAGAATCCACTTACTGTTAGATGCTGGAACAGCCACGCCCTCATGATATTTGTGGCTACTTTGGGAAAGATGCCACGCTTTTTGTGACGCTTTTTGTCCTTATCTGGATCATCATCGTCACCTGTGCTGGGGGAAGCTACACTGTTGTCCAAGCCATCACCTGCAAACATAGTGAATCAAATTTTGACTGATGCTACCTTGACATGCTTTATTCAAATAGTATGCCTTTGGATATAAACAAAACCAAAAGAGCAATATAAATGATTAATAGTTTATTTGGTACTGTTTTCTTTTCTTTTTTCTTTTCTTTTTTTTTTTTCCAAGACAAAGAGAAAGAACAAGGCCTAGGCTCAAAAGCGGTCAGGTCTAAGGAACTTCTTCTAAAGAACAGTGCAAAGGTCAAAGGGAATGGAGGGAAATATCCAATCTCTCTAGCAGCTCTGTTGCCATGGTAATTATTCAAATGTGTATAGCTGAGACATGTTAAGTGTAACTCCTTTTGGGGAGTTAAATATGGTGGAAGCCATTAGCAGAATTGGGCCCCTGCCTGGGTATTCAAATCCCACATGGAGTCATTGATGTCAACTTGGGAGAAGATGCATCTGAGATATCAACTATTTCCACAAGTGATCTATCTTAAGACTAAATTAGGCCATGGAAATGTAGGTGATTTGTCATATATGCAGTTTTGACATAGGAATGCTTCAAATAGAATATAATTTTTCTTGTCATAGAAAGAAAGAATCGAGTTTAGTAAGGGAAAACTCCCAAAATTGTTTTTTGATTAAAAAACAGTGACTATTTAAATCAAATAAAGTGATGCTAAATGAACAGTCCATTGGCATTATATTACCCTAATAATATAGACAGTATCTAAAATTTCTTCTACATGTAAATTTTCTTACTGAAAAGTCACCTGCTTACACAGGTCTGTGTATTTTTCTATTGATTTTTGGTAGAACAGTTAAGCTCCTTCTTCTAGAAAACATTTTGGCTTTGTGACACCATAAACTTTAAAATGTAGGATTTCTTTTACAATGTCATGTCTAATAAGAAAAAAAAAACATTTTCAGCCCATAAAATCACACTGTCCAAAATAAGTCATAAGGTACAAATGAAAAGGAAGCACTTGGTGTTTGAGTGCAAAAGCTCAAGGAAAAACAACAGCAAACTAAACCCACTACACTGAAAAGTAGCTTCAAGCATGCGTCTCTACCCGGAGCCCCAGCTCTTGGTGGCATCTGCTGGCTTTTAGAAAGGGACAGGTTGACCTGGGCCAGAAAGAAGCGCTACAGCAACAAGGCTTCGCAACGAGGTAACAAAAGTCCTCGAAGCATATTCACTGGGCCACGAAAGTCCCTGGAGAGCAGCATGCGTAGCCCAAAAAGAACTGGGTACATTTTGGTGAGACACATTTCCCGGGGACTGTATGTTGCTCCATGAATTCCCATAGTCCTTATTTCTAGTAGCCTACATATACGGCATACAAAAAGAATTCTCTCTTTTAATTTCAGTTGTTTCCGTCTAATCTATGGCAGTTATGTTATCATTATCAATTACAGCTGCCTCAGGAGACCCTCCCCCGACCCCCCCAACTAGCCTTGACTGGTACTGAGTTAAAGTTTTAAAACTTTGTTGGGTGAAGAACAGACCAATTTCAACACTCCTGCTATGATCGCAGCATAAGCCACGCTCCCCCCAAAAATGCTTGCAGAACTTTTCAGAGTTTACTTTTCATTAATTTAAAAATCCATAAATTTAATTGGCCTTAAAATCCATAGATTTTAGTTGAAGTTCCTACAGAATCCTAGCTGTGTTCTCAGCAGAAAAGATCATAAAGACCCACAGTGCCAAAGCCCGGGGTGTCTGGATGAGGACCGAGCTTGTGTTCCTGTTGGGTGACTGGCCCAAGGTCACCCGCCTGGGCTGGAGGCGGTGGGTCTGTGCTGGGCCAGACACTCCCATCCCTAAATCTGTACTCCTTCCATCCCACCCAACTCTTTATTTGCATAACCAAGTGTTTTATAAAGCGTCCCCTTGGATTTGCCTAACAAATTCTTTGTAAGTCCAGTATTTAAAGAGGCTTTTTATTCAGAGAAGCAATTCACCATATAAAATAACAATTCATTAAAGAAACATGAGCAAAGAAAACAACTCAACAGCATTTAAAATTTCAATGGGCTAATCCACTCGCAACAGGCAAAAGGTAACCAAGGAAAAGAAGCATATTACTCGATCATTGATTAAAAATGAAAAGCTTCTAACCTAACCACACAGTCTTTCACCACCATGATTGTTTGCCACCTTTAAAAAGAAAAAGAAAAAAAATAGCCTTTCTAGCCATCTCCAAACCCCCTCAGATTAATTTAGCAGGCAATGCCTAGTGCCTGCCTAGAAGAGAATTCATTGATAATTTATGGAAATATCTACTATAATCCAGCGGAGATGACTTTTTTCCAGCTTTGTGCATCAATAGATAATCAAGGCCTTAAAGCAGCCTTAGCTTCCCATTACCTCGGGCAAAAGAATTCCTGAAAGCGTGCCTTGAGGGCACCTGAATTATATACTCCATTAGGAGAGGAAGGCTTTCTGCATTCCATGTGTAACACTCGCCAGAACCTTTCCTGTTTATTTCTGCTGTATGAAAGCAGCAGCATTAGGAACAGAGTTTTTTAAGTGAAGACTTATGTAGATACAATGGAGCAACCTTTCAAGCCGGAGCCAGATCACCCCCTTCAGTCCCTGCCAGTGACCTCTCCCGAATAAAAGGTTTCTATTACATCATTAGCTCAAGCCAAAAACAGCCTTGGCTTAACGCACAGTTTGTTCTTCCTACTGTTTTTAGGCAAATACAGCTACTTTACTCCCATCTGGGAGGGAAATTACACTGCTGGGTTGTAATCTAAGACAAGATTTTCATTGGAAGCAAATGCTTTCAATCCAGTGTAAATACTGGTGCATGTTCAGAAAAGCCTAAAATAATAAACCCTGCTCCTTCCCGACACAAGTTAGGGAAATGGAGAAGATGGGGACCGAGAAGAGAGCATAATAAAACACACTATTCTAAAAGCAAACACTTTCGTAGATTTTAATAAATTGTTTAACCTCCCCCGCTTTTTAAAAATGGAAAAAGGGTCTCGCCACGTCCCCGCCTCTGAGGGCCGTCGACAGGGTCAGTGGTACCTTTAGCACATCCACTCACGCTGCCATTGGATACAGTCACCTCCCTGCGGTCTCCGGAGGATTTATTTCCTTTTTTTATTTTTAAGATCACTAAACAAACTTGGAGAACCGCCGGCCGACCACACGGCAGCAGGCCGCAGCTCTGAACCACATTTGTAAAATGTCAGCCGTGACTTCATTCCTGGAGCTGACTTCTCCTGCCGCCAAATGAAGGCAAACTGAAAAGGTGGAAATAATCATAAAAATGATGCTAGTCCATAAACAAGCTTACAGCCTCATTAGGATAGCAGTAGGCTCCAGTGGGTGATTTATGCTCGTTTTGCTGATGCTATGAGGAAATGCCATAGGGCGACTTTGGCCAATCGCTAATGGTTTCTGACAGCTTCTTAGCAACTAGTGCAAGCAACGTTGTGGCGTTTGCTAGTGACAGAAACCGAAAATGTCATATTATCTGCCCATGTGTCATGAAGTCCGTGTGGCAATTAACTAGCAGGCCAGTGACTGAGGGGCAGGAGGCTCCTGAAAATGGCCTTTGGCTATGCAGAGGCAGCGGGCGCTGGGCGCAGACCCGGCTGCTCATATGCAACATTCTAATGCAGAAATCCACTTCCTTGCCACTTCCAGGCTCTGATGGGGCCGGGCCACGCAAATCCCCCCTCCCAACCCCCCTCAGTGAAGTGAAACTCAAGGCTCCTCTCTCTCTAGGCCCCAGCTCTGGCTGTTCTCAGAAAGCAATCTGCTTTGATAGGAGCATCCGAATGGCTCCTTAATTGGCAATACCTGGTTCTGTGCTTTCTGGACGTTGGATTCAAAGGTGCCAGCTGTTTTGGGGCTCTCTCCCAAATGGGTCCGAAAGGACTGAAGATCACTGACGCAGGCGCATTGCCTGTCAGATTGCTGGGAGCAGAGCAACTGGGTGCCGCAACAAGACACTGTTTTAAAAAACACCAGGCTCCTAACAAGCAGGGGAGGAGAGAATCTTGGCCACACTTTTCCGTTTCCGAGCTATCAAAACCCTGCTCTATATGTCAAACTGTCAAGCCTTTCAGCGTGGGCCATTTGCCCTTTCAAATAATATTTAAGAATTGTTTTTACAAAATTTTATAGGCCATGGTCTAGTGAAAGAGGCCAACCAACAAAGAAAGGAATTTGTACTACAATTCGTCTACGGACAATTTCTTGCGAGACCTGGGCCTGTCCCTGCGGAGCGAGGCAGGTGACCTGTGGCAGCTCCCAGGCTGTCAGAGAGCTCAGATTTCAAACACGCTCAACTCAAACATCCCGAGTCGCCTATTTAAGCATGCCCAGGCATTTAGACTGTGCTATCTCGTGCCTTTCAAGGCAGGATAAAGCGGCATTTATCGCATTCAGGCCATTCAATGGGTCAGACTGACCGTGTCAGCAGGGGCTCCTCTCCGGCAGGTCAAAGCCCTGCTCCCACTTTTCTCTCCCTGCTAACTCCCCCACCCCCAGGACTGCCATTCCCGAAAACCTGCTCCAAGCGAGAGAGGCAGAAACAAAACCCAGAAAAGTGCCTGAGACTGACATCACCGCCGCCCGGCACTTCCCCTGTCAGCCGGCCAGCAGGTTTATAAATAAAATGTGGTGTCGGTCAGAGGGACCTTTATGTCACAGAGGCAAAGCTTCTAACGACGGATCTGAACTTTCCGCTGCCGGGGCAAACGGACGTGTAAGGTTGGGGACCCCCCTGTTTTGCTGGAAGTCGAACTGGAAGCCACCGCAGCTGCAGGATCATTTCATCTACAATTTTGTATCGAGACTCTGTAGTTTCAGGCCACATCCACTCCTTAAGCTTTACTTTTCTCTTCCCCAAGTGTTTAGAAATATATAGTGTTTGTCCAAAACATGGACCTCAACTGAAACATCAAGGCCATTTATAATCCTATCTTTCAATACTGACCAAATTCTGTTGTGTCTTTTTTTAAAATTAAATGTATTGGGGTGACATTGCTCAAC